CAAGCGCTTGCCACACCAGTACGTTCCAATACATACCCTATGTACCTAGTTGACGTGTTCATAGCCACGCCGCCAACCCCATCGAGAATCTTTGGTCCATAATGAAGGGCTACAGCAACACGTTGCTGCGCGAGCGCCTTGCTTCGTTTATGAGACCTCGTCCTGACGGATAAACTTGTAACGAGTTTCGTATGGCTTACTTTGAGCACATCACCGACGAAGTCATTGCAGGTATGGATCGTCGATGAAAGTCGCTTGAAATATACTGCAACCTACTTGGTTGGTAGGCGAAATATAACGAATATACAACGAACGAAGTGGAACCGCCGCGAATTGCTTGTTCATTTCGCGAAAAAGTAGGGTGAGGTCCTGAAATTAACTGAAAAAAGGTGTAGTTAGTACTTCTGAAGTATATGTCAACGTAGTCAAATTAGCATTGCACTTCCTATAAGCTTAACGTGATCGGCGTCATTAACACGCAGTAGTGGACGATGTGCTGGTACCTAAAATCGAAGGGTATTTGCGTGGAAAGGTATCGTAACTCTACATTGACTACGTATGTCCTCGGCAGCGCCTCACCTCTGGTTCGAGTGTATACAGACAGAGGAAAAGGCATGCTCAAAAGCAGTGAACACTTCGCTCGGTGTTGTTAAGCCAAACTTCTATAACTGAATTGTTAGCCCGGAAAAGGAAAGACGTTGCTTTTGTCTACCGGTAGTCGAACAGGCTACCAAGACTGCTCGATTCCCCGGCAAAGGAATGGCTCGATGAACAATCGACCGGCAGAGATGCGATTGAAGATCTGCCACGCGGGCTTGGCATCGCAGTCGTACAAGGTCAACGTGCCAACAAGGTACTCGTTGCCATCGATCTCGGTCAAGATGGCGCCGAGAATGTACCAACTGCACATGTCAATGTTCTCGTTCTCGCCGCATACTTGGTAGTCGTACACGGTGCGGTTCAACCTGGCCTGGCACTTGTCGTTGGCGACGATTTCAAGTTTGGTAGTCCAGATGGTTTTCAGGGATTCGTCCTTGTTAAATGGGAACCATCCACGCAGCCACACGCGTTTGCCAGGCTCGACGTCGTCCCATAGGATTCGCATTGGGGAGTACGTGGACGGTCGAGCCAACTGCACGATGACAAAGTCCAGGGAAGTGTTGGCACTGTAAAACTTCTTGGCCACGGGGATCCACTCGCCGTCGTTTAGCCCGCCATTGATGCGTTTGGCCCCCACCACAACTTTGTCCGCTTCGTTGTGATTCTCAGCACACGCTCGAGTAAAAAGGGCAAAGTTGGGGTCTATGAGCACCCCTTGGCAGATCATGGCACTGTTGGGCGACGACCGCAGTTGACTCAGGTATGGGGATACGACTGAGGTTTGGTAATTAGCAAAGTATGCATGCGCCACGGACGTAGCGGCAACGGCAATCCAACACAGCATGACCCGTCGAGTTTGAAAATGACGGGTCTGTAAATCATTTGGAATTTGTGAATGTATAGATTTGGCGGGAAATATTTCTCAGTTTTAGTTGTACATCAACGACAGTAGATCTTCTTGCAGTAGTGAACACTTACTTAATACTTTGAAGAATTAATAAAAACGATATTATTAATAATAGTATCCTAAATAAGACGTTCACCACTTCAATGATATTGTATCGTCGAGTAGATTTTGTTTTTACTTGGGATTATTATTTGGATGGCCCTGAACCGTAGATCGTCCGTTCGTGTTGGTATCGAACACGCATATAAAGTGTGTACGACGGGCAGATTCCGCAATATCCCCAAACGATGGATATGATGCTTCAATACAATTTGAATGTAGGAGTCACACTTCATTGTTTCGTACGAGAATTCTGATTGGCTCGTAGATATCTTCAATCAATAGAAAAGTCCTTCAACAAACAGAAATAATTCGAGTGCCTTTATTATTGTTAACTTATACCGTATCGCATAATTATGTAGTATGGCACCGTACGCTGATGTAACGTTACACGATTATTATTTCTTCGAGCGCTTACCTCCAGATCTAAGCCTTCCCCTTCCAGCAACCCCTCCATGACGAAGCAACCGACGCTGCCCCCTCCTAACTCGATGAAGTCGACGCCTACATCGTCTCCTAGCACCCCACCACCCCCTCCTGGAAAGCCCAGTCTGACCAACATCTTGCCGAAGTCATTGTTCCTTCAAATCTTCCCTCAAGCCCTCCCATCGACAAGTTCGAAAACTTCGTCGCCATCGCTGCCAAGCACCCCGAATTCACCAACCCTGGCAACGCCGACGTCGACCGCCGCGAAGTCCCCAGTCTTTCTACAAGGACATAGAATGCAGTAGACCGATTAGAAGCGTACAGCGACATGCATACGCTAAATAAGCTAATCAACGTCGGTGATCAAAATCGCGATGACCGCTACCTGTACTGTTTGGACCATAAGTTTGTAGGACGGGCATCCTTCATTTCAATAATATTCAACCTTTTCATGGCAGGGTACAGTACACAAAGCTGTCGACTACTACCCTTCTAGAAAGACCTTTTGGCCACGCATTCGGAAAAGTACTAGGGTTTCGTCTTGACAGTTTGTAGCAAGTTGCGATCATCACATTGGCCAGGAAGGGAAATCATACACCAGTGACGCTTGCGTAGATCGTCACGACTGCGCCTTCTATGCCGACGATCCGCACCACTTGAGCTGAGGTGCCGAGGCGCATTGGCCGGCAGTCCACTAACAAAACACGCGCCATGAGGGGATAATAACAGTTGGAACACTGGCCGCACTGGCTGGGGGCTTGCGTGGGGTTGGTGGGGCTGGCTGTCGTTTTGGAGGGTTGAGTGGGGTACAGTAGGTAGGTTGCATGGTGTGGGGGGGAATGTTTCGGATATGTGGGTGTAGTTGTGCTGGGAGACTGGGTGGGCTTCTGCGTAGGATTTTGTGAGTAAGTAGGCGCCTCCACCGTCGTCTGGGGGTTCATGAAAGGAGATTTAGTAGAAGTGGGTACCACCGCCTCCGTTGTCCGAGGGGGAGTGGAAGGGGCTTTAGTGGAAGGGGGCACCGCCGATGTTGTCCGCGGATCTGTGAAAGCGGTGGCGTTGGCCGGAGCTGGGTCGGACCCGCATGTGTTGCTGATGTACACATCGGCGCAGTTCCAACACTGTTCTTGGCCGTTGATGTCCACGCCGGAGTTGCTCTACCCGACATAGTGCCAACGAAACACGTAGTGGGAGTCGCCTTCGCAGGTCACTCCAGGGGGGAGCACCGTCGACTTTTTGTTGCCTGGGGGCACTTGCCATTGCTTTTCGCCTTAAGGGGGACCAGCGTTTCAAAGCAGCCTTCGGTTTCTTCGTCGTGTTTGCCGTTCAGTGTACACAAACCTAATTGAAAGTACCCCTTATGGTTGGTGTCAATTGGACTTGGAGGTCCACGGTCGAAACTGACCTTGAATTATTTATTTTTTATTTCTAAATTTAATATATATATATTTTAATTAAAAATATAAATGATAACAAAGATACATTAATTGATTTAAATATTATTTATTATTTTACTTAAATTTATACACATTTTTGCATGAACGGGGAACAGGCCGTTGGAACCACCGGTTTCGTGCTGGCTGGCGTACACGCGATTACGGGTCCCTGCAGACGCCGTGTTGGCCCCCCTTGGTGCCGCCGGCACTGAGGCCGTTGTCGTCGTAGTTGACGGGAATTTGGTCATTTTGACAATGTACCCTCGATGGGGGAGAGAAATCAAGCGGCCGTGGGCGTCGGCAAAGTCGACGACGGACGAGATGGCCAAGGCCGACAAGAGAACGGAGGTACTGCACTTCATAGGAGCTGTTGCATCGGAAAGTGACAAGTGAGAAAGAAGAGGGTAGAGGGGTCAAAGGTGACCATCATGTGATGTTATGCTTCGCATGTTACTGCGAAGTAGTATATTAATCCATGCGGAGACTCTTGAACTGATAACAATGGGGGGAACGGTTCCGAGGTTACTGTACAGTCTGTACTGGTTCTTTTGACGGGAAATGATTAGTACCCAAGACACCACACGAGCACTCATCCGTGATATGTCCGTCGTTTGGTATTTGTAGTCGTGCCATTTTGTACTAGTTTCTACTAGTACGCAGTAGTACAATGCTGAAGTTTAGAGTAACCAATGCATTGGCGATGACAGTCGTGAAACTTTATGTGCACACGGTGCAAGCCAAGCACCATCGTTGTGTCATTTACATCATTAAAAGCACATGGTTCAATGCGGCGATATGTCAGTCGTTAGCTGTTCCAGCATGCTCCAGGATACTTAACTCCTACCGGCAAAACCAGCCGCTAGCGTAGTTGCACGGGTGGGGAAATTGGTTGATTCGACTGGTCTTTGAAAGCCGATGGCAGCGATACTGTATTGTAGATTCGGACGGAATCGCCCAATCGAAATCTCGCACTGAAAATTGGTTTGATATTCCTTTTCGCTGATTGGCTACATCTTCCATTGAGTACTTCACAGTGAAGTACTAGTACTAGTACTCGTATTTGGTAGCCAATCAAATCAATCATATGTCGCAACGAGACGGGGCAGAATTCAGAATTTTGATCCATATATACTAACGTTAGTCAAACTATATTTCTAAATTGTTATGAATACAACAGTCTAAGTGTACAGTGCCATCTTTCAGCAACCTCAAACCGACGAATGTGCTCTATAACCAGTCAGTAAG